TAGAAAAACACCCCTTCCTTCCAGCTCCCCCCTCCTCCGTGTCACCCCCTCTCCCCCCCTTTCACCCGCCCCCGACGATTTCCCGCCGTTCATTTCGAAACAGGACCAAATTCGACAAAATGGCGAGCGTCGCGTCGACTGGCTCGGGATCGGACGGCGAGAGTGAGCCTGCCGAGGCACGCTCCCCGGAGATACACGTCCCGGAATCGCGGAATACGTCTACGTGTGCTCCCCCGTTAGAGCAGCGCTGTTACACAACGTGGGGTGCATTATTTTCGGCGTTGGAGCAGTACCAAGAGCAGACCCACCAAGTGTTCCGTAAGCGTACCTCTACAAGTGCTGCATCTAGGAATGCTGAATTAGCGAAGCAAGGCAAGCTGACAGAGACGACAAGAATTTCTGATTCGTTCGACAAATACTACCGGCGACTTTGTTGCACGCATGGCTGGAGTCGGCCCAGTCGGTCTACTGGCAAGCGCTCCAACTACTTTGTCAAGTCGACGGGGTGCGAGGCTCAGATCTCGGTTATAGTGGTGTGGTCAGGAGATCATGGTTTTCAAGTGAAGATAACCCAGCAGAACACGACGCACAACCACGGCCTCGGACCAGACAAGTATAACAACCACCCTGCCAGTCGACGTATAGATGATGAAGAGATGCTTGATTTTGTCGACGAGCTACAAGCTGCTGGAGCAAAAAAGAAGTTGATACTTGCCTTTTGCGGCGTCGCTCAGGTACTAGTACTATCATTTGCTGTTTTTATTGCTATAATATTGCTGAACTAATCTGTTTCATCTGGCAGACAAGCAGGTAGCCCTACGTGACGTGCACAACATGGTGCAGAAGCTTAAGGAACAACGCCGAGGATCTACTACTGTTGAAGCAAGGTTAGAGTCCAGCCTTAGAGACTTCTGCTTGCGAAAAGGAAACACGGCTACCATCTACGTGGATGATGACAAGTTGGCTCAAGTAATTACTTTCCAGACTCATCAAATGCGGCGTTTTTTCGAAGCTTTTCCTGAGGTTTTGACCAGATACAAGCTTTTCAGTTTTATGATTCACGACGTTTTTGGCCATGTAAGAGCGCTTCATCTATCTTTCACGTGTCTGACCGTCTAATGTTGTTCGTTGTGTTTGTTTGCACGGTGACTACTTGTGACTATTGTGGCTTGTTGACAAATGTGTGACTTTTGTGGCGATTTACTGCGGCATTGTGGTGCTTTGTGATTTACGTGGTCGCGTTGTGGCATTTTGTGGTTTTGGTGTGGCGATGTGGTATTTTGTGACTTTGTGGTTTTTGTGTGACTTGTGGCACACAGGGCCAATACGTGCAGCATGCCCTTATGGAGAACGAGAGTGCAGAGTGTCTTTCCGATGCGATCACATCTTTCAAGTCATTTAACGCGACGTGGGATGACGTCCGTGTAATCATCGTCGATAAGGACTTCGGAGAAATTTCGTTACTGCAATCTGCTTTTCCGGCTGCGCGAATTCTCCTTTGTGTATCCACGTTGTTAAGTATTTACGGACCGAGATGGCAAACCGTGTGTACGGACTTCTTGATCGTGAAAAGATCGAAGATGCTGTTCATATGATGCTAAGTGCGCAAACGGAAGGCGAGTATGAAATTGGTCGAAAGTATTTGTACTACATCGTGGAAGGGAAACAAATTTTGAAAGATGAAGAAGTACCGGAGCCGGAGCACGCATTCTTACAATACTTTGACTCGAATTGGCACCAGTGCAGAGAAATGTGGAGCGGCTTTGGGCGTGTTGACGTCCCGCATTTGGGAAACACAACCTACAATCGCCTTGAAGCAGCATGGGGTCATTTAAAGGATGTGTTGAAGCCAACAATGATGCTGGACGAGTGTGTAGATACTGAATCAACCTTATGTGAAGCTGCATCTTATAAGTAGCCACGAATATGTCTGCATAACTAGGACTGAGGCGGCCGGCACGTCGTCTCCTTTAAGAACCATAAATGCTTTCGTCTTGCATGCGTGTTCGCGAGCTCGCGCGCCCGTTTTTCGATTCTCTTCATGACCATGCAGCATGCCGTGCTGCATGGGATAGCGTAAGCACTTCTCCACCATGTATCTGCTTTCATGAGTCCATCAGCAACCGCTACAAATCTCCGTGTCCGACCTGGAACCGCGTTGTTGGTACTGTTGGCAAGGCACGAGCTGCGCGGCCATGCCCATAAACATGCTCTTACGTCGACTTGGCGGTGGTCTTGACAGCGCTGTACGACTGGGTGATGCCCACATTGCATGGCTCTCGGGCACTTGGTCACATGTCCAACGCTGGATAGCTTGTTCGAGACCTTCAGCACGGCGGCACAGCCTCCATGCAAAGCAAATCACGTCGTGACGAGGACGTCCCCTCCCCGTGCTACTTGCATCTCGGACGCTTGTTTCCATCGTCTTCATCCGTCATTCCTCGCGCGTCCGCAGCGACTCTCACTGCGGCAGAAATCTGACTGCGCGAAGTCTTGCGTACAGTCGTGCAACACGACCATTAGCACAACATTCGCAGCACATTTCGGTATGCGCAAGCACGCGGCACGGGCTGAAATTTTTGAAATATATCGGGTAATTTATTTTGATAGTGTGCCCTTTTGTGGCTTTGTGACGCAGTATTCGCCACACAAGACGGAGTGCCGTGTCTGTGTCACTAATACGCGCTTAAGTACGAAGTCACACTCTTATTGTGTGACTCTAACACTGGTCTATGAAATATGCGGAGTACAACAACAGCACTAAAAAGCGAGTAAGCTTAAGTAAAAAAATGTTTGAGTGTTGAGCTAATAATAAAATGTATTTTTTGTAATCCAAATTGAAGAAAAACAATTAAAAAAAATAACACGGAATCGGGTACGGCCATAGCGACGCTTGGAATGAAGACGATGTCGACGCAGAAGTCACCTCCTTCGATCAATACCCCCGCCTCTATCTCCACATCAGCACGTCGTCACCGCCGATCCCGACAGAACATCAGTCCCGCCACTCCCACAATTGCGGAATTGCTTGAAGATCCGAACGACGGCGACAAGGACAGCGATGAAGATGCAGACGTGGATGACCCATCAATCCCAGTTTTCGTGTTAACAACACCTCTACCGGCACTCCCAGAAAGTGAAAACCCTCCCGTGCACGACGCCGCTCCTTCTCCGCCTGCCCCTGTGCGGGCCGTCGGATTCCCAGTCGTTAACGCTCGCAGAACTGGGCTACAAGCTAAGGAGAGAGCGGTTTGTGCTGCGTGTTGGTATTACATTTTTTATTATTATTAACGAAAAATGGATGCTTAGATTCAGCGAATTAGTGGCTCGGTTCCGCCCGCAATGCTGGCTCGTCGACCGAGCGGCAGACGATGGCGGGCACACGCCCCCGACTACGACGACGAATTGGCGCGGATTCATTTGTTCAGACCCCCACTCCCACCCACCCACACGGACAAACGACGTGTGGCCGTTTACTACACTTGCGAGCAGATTGCGCTGTTTAAGTTGCAAAAGTGGATGGACAAAAATGCAAAAGAACACCGTCGAGCGTATGCCACAGAGGCAAAGAAGGAAGCGACAATGCAAGCTGGTCTTGGACTTACCAACTGGAAGAATAGAATGTATCTGGAGGTGCTGCACTCTAGTTACAAACTAGAACGGCCAGCCGATACCGCTGGCGAGGACAGAGACCCGTGTGCAGTGCAACGAGCAGCAGCTCTTCAGGAGAAACACGCGTTCTTCTTTGAGTAAGTATTGCCGTGTCTTTCACTTATGATTCTTGTAAGTATTCATATTTTAGTTATTTATTTGTAGGACGGGTTGCTGTGTCTTCTGGGGTCTTACAAGGGAGGAAGAGGCCCGTTGTCTCATGACGCTAACGCCGTTCTCTTCGGGTATGAAGGATCAAGTCGATGCGCAAGACATGGAATTCAGCTACGGTGATCGATCTAGTATCGCAAAGGATTCCATCGTACTGTGCTCACTGAATGTGGCCGAGAAGATTGCTCTATCCTTTGCCATGTCGCAGTCAGCGACGCTGGGCGCTTTTGAGACTCGAGTGGAAGACCGCATCCGATCGACAAAACATATTCCATCTAGTTTGGCGTCGGTGGGGTCGATCCAATACTCTCAGAACGACACGTCGAAGCTCATCGGACACCTTTTTATTGAGTTAGCCGACGTGAACATCCATTCGAACGTACTAGACGAGCCTGAGTACTTCCTCAAGTCGCAGGATAACGATGATTTCAAGTATCTGTACGTGAAAATGCTCAAGTACCAGGACGTGGCCAGCCGTGTGGCCATCCTGAACAAGCGCCTCAGCATCCTCCGCGACTTGTACGCTCTCTTAGCGTTGTTTTCTTCTTATCTAATTGCTTACTGATGTCGGTGTGATATTTTTTTCTTTTTTTCAGGGTGGGTGTTCTGAATCAGCAGTTAACGCATCACCACGGAGCGAAACTCGAATGGATAATTATCTGGATGCTCGTGTTTCAAGTTATCATCGCCATTGGGTGGGATATTATCCTCAAGGACATTTTAGGCTACTTCCATTGGGGATAACGAAGGCACATGGACGGGAAACTTTTTTGTAATCAATACATGTACTACTTGAAGTATTAATAATCTGTGCGGCCATTAACATTTTTTTGCTGCTCACCAGAATAAGTTTTGCCGAAGTTTTGAAAATGGACACGTCTGGCTTTGCTTAAATACACTCTCGCCTGCAGAAATTAGAAAAGCGACAAAGTTGCTCGAACGAATTCAATCATTGACTTACTACACCTTTGCCAATTCAAAGTGGCCGTAGTGCAGTTCAAAGTGGTGTGAAGTAGCTGAAGTAAAAAAAATATTTCATAATTATTTTATAAATTTTGTCTTTAAGCTTTTTATGTTAGCTTTTAGCACGCTAAAACAACCTACCATAAATTACAGTAAAATACATGACAGTACCATTTTAGCATGAATACAAACAATAACAAGACGGAAACGTACCTTCAATTGGGTTGCGCTCCTCCTCTCACCTTCCCCTCCGGGGATCCCCTAGCCTCAATACGATGAGCAGTAGTGGCAGGGATCCCGTTGTGAAAGGCAACCAGCAGCCAATCGTAGCCCTGTTTGAAGGCATCAAGGACGCGCGATCGCGCCACCACCGTATGCTTCGGCTCTGTTGGCATCTTGCCTTCTGATTTGGTTGTAATGTTGGTTTTGTAGTGTGCTCTGGGTGAGGCTTTCACAGCCACCACTTTGGATCTAAAGACAAAATTTTAAAAATAATTATGAAATATTTTTTTTTTACTTCAGCTACTTCACACCACTTTGAACAGCACTACGGCCACTTTGAATTGGCAAAGGTGTAGTACTTCTAGTGTGTATTTTGGCTCCAATTACTACTTGAAGTAAAGAATACTAGTATTAGTTGAACCGATAGTAGCTTACAGTACTAGCTTACTACTACGTAGTACGTAGTACTACAAAATTATGTACTAGCTGAACTTCCGAAGTGAGAGAAGCAAAGTATTCATATTTTTAGATATGTACGATTGATCTACATGTATCAATCTCTGGTGATGCGACGAAATAGGCAATCTCTACTACAGTAGTAAAAAATTAGGCGGTCTATGCTATTGCAATAAGAGGTTTACAACTACGTAGTAGAAGGATTTATAGTGTAAGAGCAGACCATGTTGTCTAGACTTGAGTGAAGAGGTTTGTCAACAGTATAGTAGCTGTGAGGCTGCCCATGATCAGCAGAAAGCATACTATGAAACTCGGACCATCAGAGTTTACCCCACGCGATTTGCCTCCCGTAAAGTACGTCTGGAGCTTGTTGATACTCTGTGCAGCGGGGGCATTTTGTAAGGACGTGAGGACCTCGGGGTGCTTCTTCAACGTGTTCAGCTTCTGCACCATAGCAGGGTCGCCCTTAAAAGAGTTGAGGCTTTGAGCGACCACAGGGCTGTTCTTCAAATTCTCGACTTCCTTGATCGCAGCAGGATTCCTCTGGAAGAGCTTAATGCTCTGGGTGTTCCTTTGCACAAAGTCTTTGAGCCTGCTGAGTACTCGCTCTTCATCCTCCACGCCGAATGTTGCCTCGTTAGCCAACTTCCTGTGGGCAATGTTCCTCTGCGAGTTTTCACCCCGGAAGTTCGTGTGAATCGAGTCAGCTTCCAGTGTCGATCTCTCGGCAAGTATGAGATCCCCGCAGGCGGCCAGAAGCAGCGCTAGGAATAGACCGAAGCGCATTCTTCCTGTTGATTCGTTAGCACAGATGTGAAGAGCTGGAAGTAGGTTGGGGAATGAGCAGGGTACACATTCGTTCACACGGTGTGAATCGTGTGAACGAATGTGTACCCTGCTCATTCCCATTGCTTGTGTTGTACCGGTACTGTACTGTAGGATTGTACCGGTAAATCACCATAGGAATTTCGGGTAAGATTTGTTCAACGATGGGTTGATAAATATACGGCGCCGATCAGGGTTGTCAACGGCAAAGGGGGCTTTCACAGGAAATCGGTATTCACCGATTTGATACCGATAGCCAGTCAGCTTTAACCAAGTATCACTACTTCGCAAAACGAATGCGACTACTGTCAAGGTACCAGTACAAAAAAGTTCAATTCCCACTCAATTCTCCCTGCAAAAACCTGGGAATATGCCATCGGCGGTGGACTCTGGGCTGCGTTTGCAAATATGAGCTCAGATTGGCTATTTTGTATTCCATGATATTATCACCAGGGAGGATTAATAAATGAATCACTTTATTTATTAATCCTTCTATTAATAGCCAGTCAAATATGTGTACAATTGAATGGGAGCCCCTCGCATTCGTGATTATAGTGTTTATAAATAATAGTTCTCAGAATACTTAATATTAAAGAGCACAGCGGTCATAACCCGAGCTCAAATGCTACGAGTATCCACCACGCAATCAGTATCCGATCAAAACTAATACCGCTAAGCCTCATTTAACATTTCTAAACGCTAAAAACAACTGTGTCTCATTTAGGTAAAGGCATTCAGGTTGTCTACATGTACTCAAAATTAGAAAAATGGATAATGTGGTGTACCCAAATGCATTTTGCGTTCTAAACATCGAGTTGTAAGATGGACACTAGAGATCAAAAAGTTGCATGGGTGTACACAACAGTATTAAATGTAACGTGTTGCACTCGCACCTCTGCTTGGTCGAAATTGATGGAGAATTTTTAAGTGTAAGATCGCGACGACTGCACGGTATTCTTCTTATGATCTGCTATAGTAAGAAAAAACATGCGGATGGGATTGAGGCAAAGTCTCAGCTAAGTACATGTAGCTTCGATTAAGTCTTTTCACTATATCTGCAATAACTCGGCATCTAGTAGTCCAATTGACACATATGGGGTGGCGTTATAATGAAAAGTAGCAGGCCGATTTTTGAGATTTAACAACTAGATTGCAACAGGCGAAACGTTTTTTGTAAAGCATTCTTTCCGATTTCACAAATCTGTGGTCTTTAGTAGCTTCCTTGATTTAATTAAATTATACATTTATTCACGAGAAAGGGCGGTACAGATGCCAGGCATGTTGTAAAAAAGACAGTTTTCAGCTTTATAAAGACGAAGGTGTATGACATGATTGGTTTATTTTGTTTCTACAGGCCAACTAGACCCCTGCTTCCTGTTGAGGTTGAATCCACGCCTCCAACAAGAGCGGCAGTGCCTCAACTGCCATTTTGTTTTGTCCTACAGGTTTCTTGCGTCGCGAAGGTTTCGCCTTCGGCACTTCATTCTCTTTCTCCAGTCTTTCACGAGTAAATATGCGACCAGACGTCTTTGTTCTCTTTCGCTTCCTTATTGCGCTCGGTCGTGGAGCAGGAAGGACCTAAATTCCTTGGTGAACAGTATCAGAGACCTTGACAACTGCTGTATTGTAGTAAGATTGAAACAAGCCATTTCGCTTGAAGTTGGCCAACTTGGCATGCATGCTAGGACGTGAAAGCGGAAAAAATCCAGCTGCAAAATCCGGCAGACATATTAACTACAAGATGAGGCTGATCCCATGCTAGCGCCGCTAAGCTCAGTGCTTTTTTCTTGTCAATTCTTCCCGTACAGGGTCCTTCAAGTAGATGCTCTAGCAGCAGTTTTAGCCTATTCTTAAAGAGCGAAAACAGCGCTACATCTAACGGTTGAAGAAGATACGTTCGATTAGGTGGTAGACACACCGAAATGATTCCGCATTATGCAGCAACGTCCACAATTTCGAGGGGAAAATGTGAAGAACACCCATCCATTACAAGAAGCAGAGGCCTCATCATTGGTGCAGGGGCCGTGTCGCCTAAAAATCGTAATCAACGCGCAAAAGGTGCCCGTTCATGAATGCCTTTTCAGTGGTCGCAGCCCCAGCACCGGGGATCTGACAAGTGTCGAAAACGCCGCCACTCACGCTCTCACCAGGAAAAATAAAGAGAGGAGGAGCGACGTAACCATTGGCACAACCACACGCAGCAAAACGGAGGTGAAATTGAGTCTTGATGTCACTGTGCCATACACTCATAGATCCCTTTGCTGATATCACGCCTTTGTGCTCTCGTTGCGTTTCAATAGCAGTCTCGTCCATGTTAAATACCCATATTATGCTCACTAATCACCTTGGCTAGCGACGAAAATATTATTGACAGGTCGTTTTTTTCAACTTCATTCCGCGCCTTGGTCACAGATTGTGACGTTCTTAGTGAAAGTGAGGGGTTGCGCTGCATGAAGCGCCGCAACCACCCTCACCTACACTCACACCACACACGATCTCAGCAATCTGCTGTGCCTTGTGCAAGACATCTTGCCGTCTGACAGGATGTCCAGTCACCTGTCGCTGGAGGATCCAGCCTCTAAAGCTATTTTTGGCACTCTTCGAAGCGTTAGAGGCGGCCCACGACGCTTGAGCTCGTGAAGTTTGTTTTTGCGTGCAGCAGCCACGTATTTCTTCAGCGTGCTATGCGCGACCTTCATTTAATTACTCGTTGCCTTTAGCTCTGCGCCAGCTAGAACGGCTTGGACGGCGCAACGGAGCTCTGCTTCGCTGTACTTGGCGCGTATTTTCCCCATGGTGGGAAGCGAAAGTGTGGCTAGAGTATAATGGCTGGAGGAGATCGGGTGAAAGTTCGCTAGCTTAATATTAGCTAATTACGATCGTTGGCAGCGGTTTGGCCTAATATAACAGGTTAAAAAGATCGAGGCTACTACTAAACTGGTACTTTGCCTTAGCTAATAATTCTTCATCAATATCGATCAAGCAAAGATGCGAGTGCAACACGCTACATATAATGCTATTGTGTACACCCCCGTGTAACTACTGTGAGTCTTGATCCCTAGTGTCCATTTCATCACTTACAGAAACTCAGCTCATTCAAATTTCTAGACTGTCAAAATTACACATGTTTTATTTTAAGCAGGTTTTTGTATTGGGCCGATGGTGGCCGTAAGTTGTGACCACCTTGAAAAATCTCTTTTTTCTATGTGGGCTTCCCTATAAAGCGAGCGTTAGCACATCCTTGCTATTTCGAAGCATATTTTGCAACTTGTGTGAAAACCACACCGTCAAAGATTAAAATTGACTGTGTTATGGACACTCGACGAGGTGGCCGTATTATTGTGTCCAGGGTTGTAAGTCATGAGCAATCCATGAGATATTAGCCCATTTTCCCACATCGTCCCACATTATAAAATTCCGATGATTTCGATGGACGCCTCCTATTAATAACTTTAGAGCTACAGTTATTGATTGTTACTCGTGCGTTGCTATCTTAAGGTTCTAAAAGGAGAAGAAAAAGTAGAGGGCAATTTTAAGTTTGCGCGCTACATAAGATGCCAAGAATATAGCGAACATCGTGGCGACCCGTAATTCTTAAAACGATGCCAACCAGATGCATGACGATACCGCACCATTTGTTAAAAATACGTCCTCTACTGGTTTGTGCACTCATTGCGAGGTAATCTGCGCTGATAAAGCGTCGATCAGATTGATTGAACACATCTACATTCTGTAGGTTTACCGTACAGAGAACGATGCATAAATTCGACACCGCTGAAGGTGATAGCATAGCAATTCACACCAAGAGTGACACAAAAATCCGACACAGAAAATAATTAGCTATGAATGGCTAGTATAACATCGAAATTTACAAAAGAGCGATTAAAAATACATATGATGTAACATAAAAAGCTGTATCGCTAAACAGACACCTTAGGGTACCGAGGAAATGCCTTTTCGAAACTACGAATTACAGCTCTCTCCTCAATCGCTTTCCATGCATCAATAGTAGATGTTAACGCACGAAGTCGTTTTTCTTCGGCAGTAGCCGCGTTTTCTTCTGGAATCGTTTCGGAGCTTCGCTTTGAGTGGGCTCATGTGACGACTGGTGAGAGCACGGCGCAGAGGAACAGCGACGAGGAACGAGTCGCGTGGCGAGGGGTGAAGCGGAGGAGGGCGGCGAGAGTCCAACAATGGGGACTCGAAGGTAAGGCGTAGGAGGCAGTTGATGTGCCTCGAAGAAGGTGAATTGGAAAGTGAGATTGAAATGGTTAGTTGTTTGTCGGCTTCTAGGAAGTGCTTGTTAGCATTCCCTTGGTATCCTATGTAAGTATATGCATTTCACTATACTAGATTCTAAGTAGTCCTCGAATCTTGAAGTAGCGTAGCGTAGTAGTGAACCGCGGTTCATTTGATCTGGGTCAGAATCTCCATAGTGAATTCAAATGAAAAAGAATGACTGTCATTGAAGTTCCATGTTTGGCAATACTCGACCAAACATGGTGATTGCCTTCCGGTCAGGCGTGTGTCTGCCTGGCCGCTCATTGGCAACTTAAGAAGACAGCTGGCAGTCAGCAAAGACAAGTAGGAAGGAAATAGAAGAAAGTAGGACGCATTGGTACCAACGTCATGGCCATCGCTGGCTGTGGCGTTGGTGCGTCGTTACAGCTCATTACACCAACATCCAGTGTTCCAGCAATCGGCTGTGCTGTAAGGTGGCAGCGCGACCACTGCTGCATTTGCCCCTTCGGCAAGAATCCGCTGCCCTTCTTGCACTCAAAATTGTCAAAAAAAAGGACTGCCTATTCAATTTTAAGAAGTTTCTCTACGTAGAACTTCTAAACCGACGTCCATCCGTGCACTCCCTTGTATGGCGTAAAAGCGCCCGTCGGGATACTCCTCAAACTCACTTTGCTTGATTGTACCACCGGGAACCCCACGGATGATAAAATGTATTTGAAGTTTCGATCCTATATTTATACGATAAATGAACAATAAAAACTTGTCAATAAATAATTACACTCT